AATTTAGGTATACAGTATTATTGACTTCATGTCAAGCGACTGTATGAAATGTTAATGGACCAGGGTAGCAAAATAATCTGCTATATTGATGAGGTAAAGGTTGGCAATATTGTTTATACAATAAAGGGGTACAGTACAATACTACAGTAGGCTTTCTAGGCAAAGATTATTGCTCATTGCCTCGCCTTCTACACTATTTTTTTTCTAAATTTATATATCTTCAGTTGAGCATTTTTACTTTTCTGAAGCATAGTGTTCTATAGCTTACCCCACCAATGAAATTTTCAGTGGGATGTCAATACGAGTAGGGTAGGGGCCCATAGTCAGGGCCCAAGTCATTCTTTATCTATCTTTGGGCACACTACATAGTAAATCTAGACCATATACAGTATCTATACACACTGTGTAATTCTCCAAAGCCAACACAGCAGTCATAGGTACATTTGTTAGTATGTATTCTGTTGTTCACTGTCTCAGGAACACATTCTGTACTTTGTATGGTAAGAGCTTTTCTTGAAATATCCTAATTCAACCAAATAAATATGATGCTATCAATAATCCTAGTCTATAAAATATTAGCATTTTTTCTCTTGGATTTGGTGAAGCAGGTTAAATTACCTTCATATGTAGGGATAAAAATAAAGTACAGGTAGTCCCCAACTTACGACCGACTCGACTTACGTCCACCCACACTTACGACCGCCTCAGTCGTACCAAAATGTGGTTAAATTATGTATTTTAGAGTCCCAAAGTCAGTACACAGACAATTTTCATCTGTAATTCACTTTAAAATGGCTGGCAAGCTTAAAAGTGAGTGTTTTGTGGTGCTGAAAAGAAAGAGACCCAAATTTTCGATTTTCTATGTGTTATTTTTAGCATTTCCGACTTATGACCATTTCTACTTACGACCTGGATGTCGGTCCCTAACCCCGTCGTAAGTCGGGGAGTACCTGTACTAGTCAAAGATCTGTACCGTAGTCCAGTTTTCAACATAGAAATTTAGCTAGAGTTGGGCTAAGTCTGTGCACAAAATTAATTGTTTTTATACATACACATTTAAGGCTTATTAAGTTACAGTACACATACTGAATATATACAGTGAGTTGTAGCATAGGAAGGCCTAAGACAATGAAATTTTAACCAAAGTTTGTAAACGATAGGTCTTCAGATTGGTTGGAAATATCAAGACCAGAAATCAATATACTGTAAATTAAAATAAAATAAGGCTTTGAGGGCCACTCTAAATGTTGGGCCAAAGTTGTAATTTTGACGTATTCACCAGACAAATTTTTTTTCTGGCAAAATATGACTGGTAAATTTTCTCAGAAGTACTGTTTATTTTTCTATTAGACAGTTTCATAAAGCATAAGGCTAAATTACTAGAAGTGTTTTTTTGTTGACAGATTACCTATACAGTAGTAACAGTCATATAAAAACAAAAAAAGAACCCAGACTGCCTAATCAATATTTCTCTATCTCCTGGTGATAGTCTCACACTTGAAAGATCACCACCACCATCCACTTAAAACCAAGCAGTAATGTTTTATCACATTATCTGGATGGTAGGTAGATGCAGGCCTTGGAAGAGAAATCATGAGCACTAATGCTAACTTTAACTCCCAGTCCTCTCACTCCAGCCCACCCCCCTTATCTCCTTCCCCTACGGTATTCACCTTTTTCTTTTCCACCTCCAAATCACTATGCTGTTCTAAGTTCCCTGCTCTCCATGCACAATACTTCAAAACCCCTGACTTTTTAAAGAACTCTAATCATACCACAAAAATCTAGGAAACAAAAAAGAATGAGCAAATTCACAATGAGAGTAAAAAGTAAACCGAATCGTAAAATAAAAAAATATATTGCTCATAGTAAGTGAAAAAAGGGGGTTAATCCATGAAAATATTAATCACTAAAATAAATATGAATCAAGTGCAGGTAATTCTAAAAAGAAGCATTTACTAGTTTTTTATAACAGAAAATGTATAAAAACTGTAATGTATCGCCATAAAAATTGTTGTTTCTAGCCAAATCACTCTCAAGTCTTAAAATGCAGGCGAAAACATGTTGGGAAAAATTCGTAAGGAATTCGTTAATCGAGGGACGTTAACCGAAGTTAAGAATCTTATGGAAGGTAATTCGTTAACCGAAATTGCGTTAACAGAGGCGCTAGTTAACTGAGGGATCACTGTACAGTGTGTGTGTGTGTATATATATACTATATCATGCTTTCTTCTTTCCTTGTGGTTATCAGCATATACCTGGATCACGCGCACCCACAGTGATTTACATATATATATATATATATATATATATATATATATATATATATATATATATATATATATATATATATATATATATATATATATATATATATATATATATATATATATATATATATATATATATATATATACAGTGGGGTATGCTATAACGAATCTAATTGGTTCTAGAACCTTGTTCGTTATAGCATTCGTTCGTTATAGGATTAATCCGTTCCAGGCCCCCAAATACAACCACTTAACACTGAAAAATATAATATAAAATTGTAAAAATTGTAAAAAAAGTGCATAAATATGCATCTAAACCCCTGAAATAAAGAATATAATTAATACTTGTAATAAAAAAACAATAAATTAGTAAAAAAACAAAAAAACAAAAATTTTTAAATAATGTTCGTTGTAGGAGTTTCGTTCGTTATAGCATTCTCAATTTTATAGGTAAAACCGTTCGTTATAGGAATATTCGTAGTAGGATCCATTCGTTATAGCATACCCCACTGTATGTATGTATGTATATATATATATATATATATATATATATATATATATATATATATATATATATATATATATATATATATATATATATATATATATATATATATATATATATATATATATACACACAAACACACACACAGTAATATAATATATCAGACGAAAATGTGAGTAAGCACATGTGCAGAAGTATTACGTGACATTCACAATTCTGCTGACTGGCTGAGTAAGAAGTAAACATTGTATATCCCCGAGAACTTGCACTCTCAAGTGAAATCGAAAGGTGAAAATAAAGCTGTAGAACAGGGGTTCCCAAATATTTTCCAATGCAACCCCGTCTAGTACTGTCGCCTATCCAGTGCAACCCCAAGTCATTAGACAGTATGCTGTATACTGTATATGAAAATCCTAAGAGTAAATACGAACATATTGATATACGTATTTAACTGTAAAAACAAAAAAACAAAATGTATTACAAATCGAGAAGTCTAAAAGCAAACACTGGCAGAAACAGGCTACAACTCTGTCATATTTAATAATATGTGACATTATATATGATCATTTAATGTTCTATACATGGGGATATAATTACATAGTTAAGCAACACAACATACAATTAATCTTCGTTACATCTCTGTCATACTGTACGTATTTCATATGTGACTTGTGTGCATCATCATATAATTAATTTTCATTGCAAGTTACATCAATCATAATTCATAGTAACGTGTGTGCATTATCATTTAATAGATTTTCTTTTAACTTAGGGTATAATTATGTGATTAAACAACATAGCAGACAATTCTCTAAGTTTAATTTTGATATACGGTTACGGTGATAATTTTTTATAAACACCATTGTCAAGAGAGCTGCCTCACAGACCTCCAACTCATATCAGAATCTTAATAACTCGTTTTTTAGCCAATGAATGTCAAATTGGTAAATAACCCAAAACATTGATGTCATCATAGATGGCAAAAATCACCCTTGCCTCGTTGTCAGCCTTTAAATCTGTTATTTCGAGGGCAAAGGAGCCACACAGTTTTACATCTGTCCTGAACAGAAACTGAGCAAAATCCATAGAATGAGTAAGCAATTTTAGGAATCTCATTGAAATTTGTTGCCATATTTTGTCTGCATCCATGGGAAGTTCAGAGTGCATTGAGCTGAGAACAATTCAAAGGTAGGAGTGTGAATTTTCTGCTGCATAATGTGTCATCAGCATTCACCTTCCCTGGACTGACCTGACTTGACATAAGGAGTAACAGCATTATTCCCTTGACCATAATTTATGGTTCCAACTTAACGAGACAGCACCTGTAAGCCATGTACTTCAGTCATTGACACCTGGATATGAGCTTTACGGAACCCCATCGACCCCATGCGACCCCTTATGATGCATCTTGGGCATGTTTGGGAACCACTGCTAGAGAGTATATATACTGTAGTACAGTCATGTTATTTTGTTTTGCTCTATCTTCCTACACTGTATAAGAAATAATATATAATTCCATGCATGGTCACTACATAATACAGTACAGTATTAACAGTTATCATTCCCCCCCCCCCTCCCTTGTTCAGTTATATCAGGCACCAAGCTTCCTTTTTCCCAGTAAAGCAAGATTTAAGCATTATTGAGGTTTTCTAAGAATGAAACCCTTACAAATAGCAGGGGTCTACTGTACATACTGAAACTGGTCAACAGAGCATAGAAAGCACTAAAAAAAATTATGCACTACCAGAATTATTTAATTTTTATTCTACTAATGTCTCCTATTCACTTTCAGAATGTGAATGATTAGAGATTCTTCTGGGAAAGTACGGTACAGTTTGGTTACACACACAACTGGCTTATAGGGCTGAAGTTGTTAAAACACCTTTTATAGATATGATTTTCAAGAGAAAAATAGATCAAAGTAACATCAGGAAGTTATATTAAAATTCCAAAAAACATGCAATTTTGATAATGCACTCTTTAGTGTTACCGTATAAAGATCAAACTGGACTGAACTCGTGTAACTCAAAGTAACAATTAAATTTAACTGCATTTTAAAAATCAACTTCGCTAACTTTGGAAACGGTACACATGCCAAGTAGTTTGTACGGTATATAACAACACTTTATAATACATTCAAGGATATTACTACACATTAATGAGCACTGAGCTAATTAATCAACTATAAGTCCAGATTGTCACTGCCACGGAGGGACAGAGCTTACTCAGACCAAAGTCCTGGCAAGTCCGGGCATTCCTCTTGTTGCAACAGCACTACGGCGGTGAGACAGCAGCCAACAGCAGAGGCAGCAAGGCACTGGCTTCACGCAAGACACTGGAGGTGGCTTGACACCAAGCACTTTGCTTCCACTGGATTTATAACTACACGAGAGGTGAGGGTGGTGCCATCACAAACTGGGCATGGCCGTCTAGGGAAACTTGGTAAACAGGCGTGACATTACTCTAACGACTATTTCTATGCATAAGCAAGGTCCACATGATTAAAGACACCTTGTGCTACACACATACAACGACTACTATACAGTTCTACACAAGCGTCCACTACGTCATGAACCTAAGCACATCCCCATCTCATTCTCGTACTCTTTCTGGCTGTTTGTTATTGACTGTGGCAGACGATACCCAGGCCACCGGGTTCCAGTACTGGCGTCCACATAATATTTATTTTAAATATTTTATTCACAATAAAAACACGCGTTAATCGTACAAATATAATTAATATTACTTTCATAAATATTATTAAACCATAAATAATTGAAACTATTCAAATATTAACTTACATACATATTTTAAAGACTGCGCAGATACTACATGTACAAATGCGCCACAGGGCCAATCGATACGGAGTGGAAGGAGAAATGTTGTGCCACTGCCTCATCCCTAGTGCACCACTTACCCATACAGCTTCGTCCATTTTCACTACACTTCGGGTTCAGTGTTTCACGGAAAGTCTCTTATTTAGAGTAACTAATATCCAGTAAAATGTCCACAAAAACCTGATAATAGGATATACCTTGTCAGTTAACTTTTAAGGTTTCCAAATGTAGATTATTATTTAGTAATTATTCACTGCATATCTAAATCACTTTAGAAGGGTGTCCAAGGGGAAGCACTGAACGGTGGTGGATGAAATGTTTACTTGGCACAACTGTATGGGCAAGGTGGCAACTGCATATTGTTTGCTAAAACCTCAATTATTCTATCTTATCATATTTTATTGTCTAATGCCGTGATTCGTAGACACTTTATGCAAACAAAAGTTATACATAAATACAACACATTTGTAATTCAACAGCTAAAAATTTTCAAAAGTTGTTGGTTTACAAGCTTTTCCTTCAAAGAAAGATATCTTTGAAATTTGCCACCAATTAACGTGCCGAGTGCCTTCATACCGGTCAGTACAATGTTGATTGTTTACTATTAAGATGATACATCAATTATATATTATCTATAATTATAATTATGCTACTTTTGCAATGCTGGATGAAGCTGTATGGCCTGTAGGCACACTCACAGGTTTAATATCTAAACAAAACAATTTACAATCAAAGCAAAAAGCTTCTGACTACTTACCTATTCTGTACTGGTGGTATTATAAAATATAGCTTGCAATATAAATTTTAGTACCATACCATCATATTATATTGAGATTTTAAGCATCACCAGTACCATAATGAATTTCGTCCGAAATTTAACCAAAACTTTTATTTTTTTTTTTTTACGGGTATTAGCCCACCCGGACACAGGTCACTGACCCACATCACGGCCTGGGGGGGAAAATGTAAATAAACATAAACATAATAATAATAATAATAATAATAATAATAATAATAATAATAATAATAATAATAATAATAATAATAATAATAATAATAATAATAATAATAATAATAATATGAAACCATAAAGAAAAAAAGATCATTAGTGAGAAACGATATATGTATGTTGTGTTGTCAATAGTAAGAGAAACAATTGAGACCCTGCACTTAGTGTAAATGAAGCAGAAAGTCAGATCTGCAACCTGGGACTTGGTCACAATTTTTGTGATGCCATATGGCAGAAGGGTCTACCATTAAACAATACATTATGCTTCCAATATCTTCCCAGGTCCTGGATTACTGCTGTGTAGATAGAGGCCACTGGTGAAAATAAACTTGCCCATAGTTCATTGGCGGCGGAAGTGATTATCGCTGTATTTTTTTTCTATCACAAACCCCAAAGGCCGTGCAAATGACATGAATGACAACTACCATACCTAAAATCCAAGAGGCCACCGTAGTAGCACAATCGCCTAAACTTGTGAATAAGAACTTTTTCTGTATTTGGTTTAATGGTAGGTGTCGATGTGTGTGTGTGTGTGTGTGTGTGTGTTTATGTAAAAATTTAGCTCGTGGGGTAGCATTGTGAAGAGAAGAGATATATTGAGTTATGTATGATCAACGGGTCAAGGATCATGTAAGGTGAGTGACCCAACAATTTTGTAAATTTATGGATCGTGAGTGAATTAAATTAATCTCTATCGGCTACTAAAACGAACTTAGAACAAACGGGGTCCAGGGCAAGGGTTCATTTTAGGGGACCGATTAGTTTTTCGTATGCTACTATCCATACTACACTCTGTATTAACTCTACATTCGGTAGTTTAAACCTATATTCATATTGGATACATTTGTATTGTTTTCTTTTTTCTTTTTTTTTTCTTTTTTTTTGGGGGGGGGCAGCTGCCTTGTTTCTCCTGGCTTTAGTTCGGTCCTGTTCAGGAGTCACAGGAGTGGTCAAAGGAATGGAAGCTGAGAATCAACGTTGAAAATTTTAAAAGAATGCACCTTGGCCGTATCAATGGTAGGGAAGCATATCACATTGTGACGAAGATCCTTCATTAACTGAAACCAACTGTAAAAGGATCTGGGTGTTTATATTGACAATGAACTAAATTCTCATATCACTGTGAGAAGGTGAATCTTGCTAATAAACTAACAGAACTTAGACAAGGATCTTACTCTTACTTAAGTGGTCCCTCATTGGGAATACTCTACTGTACAGTACTATACATAATTCTGTTTGGTCTGTGTGTGAGATACGCTATATATAGGCTAGACTGCCAATTGATTGCGAACATCAGGCACTCGGACACTTTATAATAGCCTTTCAAGAGATTAGAGTCTTCAATTGCCTAGTTAATACTATATAAGGGCAAAGGGGGATTAAATAGAAGATTATAAGTACCTCAACGGGATTAATCACGTGCACATATCTAGAGTTAGCGGATGGATACCCCACTAGAGAGTCAAAGCCTAAAATTAAAGCTACGAGTACAGAAAACTGTCCTACTAACTTCTTGAGAGTGAGGGTTGGGAACTCATTCGAGATTAGACTTGACAAACACTAGTACAGTTGCGGAAATGCACCCCTGTGATAACCCGTGTCTCCAAACGGCAACTTCACAGTAGTAGTAGTACAGTAGTATCACTATTTATGAATGAATGGGTATTGGTCGTGTAACGACGGACATGATTGATGGATAGGTTTGCTATAGGTCATATAGGTTAGCCGTTTGGAGACACAGGTTACCACCGATGTGTATGAACACATTTCCGCAACTGTACATGTTCAGGTACAACCGTACGTAACAGGACCGACCGACGACCATACCGATAGTACCGGTAAACTAGGGAGCGGCGAAGAGGATAAGTAGGAAATTGTTCCTGCTATTGAAGATATGGTAATCAATGACTGCTGTTGCTACTGCTTTTATTGCGACAACTGTCTTTTTACACTGCTGTCCTCGTATAGCTGCTCCCATTTCAATTGTATCTCCTACAGCTGCTGGTGCCTCTGCTACGTTTTTGCTGCTGTTGAAACAGGCTTTGCTGTTAATTATGTATTTTTTTTATGCTCATGCGACCCCTGCCTTTGCTTCTGCAGTTTGCTGGGGGTTTTATCCTGCTTCTTGTTCCGTTGCTCCTGCTCCACCACTTTGATTGATATACGCAATTTCCCCATTCATTAAGACCACCTTCCTTTTTATCCTTATTCTTTCGTTTACAATTTTAAGAGTCAAAAGAAGTTAAAACCCTTCGAGTCTAAATAATGGAAATCTACCGTAAAAGCATTTTTCAACAGAAAGCCTTAGAGAGCTACATAAAATGTTTTTCAACGACACGAGAAATCGGATTTTCATTCTTGAAAGACTTGAAAGGATTCTTATGTGTCGCCAAACAATCCTATTGTCATACATAAAATCACCTTGCGCATTTTCTAAATAAAAATTTGCATCGACGAAATATTAGCTCGAGATCCACATTCGCTTATATTCACTAGATCTGTTCCCAATTTTTCAGAATAAGTTAGAGAACAAAGGTATACTTTTGGGACGGTCTTCTAAACGTGATGGATTTTTCTTCACCTGTTTACTCAACGCCTTAGCACACGTACAATGAATAAATGAATATGTGATGAATAAAACAATAATCAACATGTACAGTACATAACATTTAACTATATTGATGACAATTAAAAACTATTATGCACACGGTACCTAAAATACAGTTGCGTTATTTTTTTTTTCGGGAACGCAAAAGCCGCTATTAATAGAATGGTGTATTTTTTTATACAAAATTAACTAACCAATATCATATCGACCACAATCATTTTCTCTGAAGAACAAACAACGGCCAAGTTCACTGGCGTCATTTATTTCATTAAATATACAGTAAGTTGACATTAATACTTGTCAGCACAAGTTAAGAAAACCCACATTGGTCACTCGACGTCCAAGTGACACTGATATACAGTATATGGCTACGAATACAAGAATAATCATAAAAAATTTAAATAAGATTAATGAGTGATCTCTTCCAAGGTATGATCAGTTATTTTTTAACTTTGCCCATGACTTTAAAACTTTATTACTGTATATCGTCCTGAATTCACTACGCAACAAATCACATTAAGATACCCATATGTACGACATTTCAATTAAATTTCCCAAGTGGCTATGCAGCTACTACACCATACTCTATTCCCCATTAATTTTAGAGAGCATAAAAATGTTACAAGGAATAGATAAAAGAATTGTTTCATAGCTTAGTAATAGAAGTTAATTATTCTCGAATATCTAGCTGCGTTTAATCAGCCCAAATGCAATCTAGCCGTTTTCCACTTGCTAGTGAGCTTCGCGGCATAATATATTCGTAGTTCCTATACTTAAAGCAGACAGAATTTCAGAAATTCAGCCACATTGAGTAGTGTAGTTGTGAAAAGGGACCATTTCAGAAATCAGCAGTTACTATCAAAGGCTTTTATTTCTTGCTTATGGTAACACATTACTGTTCTAACGCACCTAAATAGCCAATTTTCGAAGAATTTTGTATTGGACAACTTTCTTACCTCAAGAAAACATATCAAATGCAGGAATTGTAAATGTCGTACTGTTGTTTCTATAGTTTGTCTCTTTATATATAATGAACCTGTTTCTGCCATGTCTATCCTTCG